AATGGCTAGCTTCGTCAGGATCTTCAGATCCGCAGTGGAGCCTTTAGCTACTAGAGCGTTGAAACATGACCAACAGCGACCACAGGTGATAAACCTTCAGGAAGATAAATCGAAGAGGGAATACTAAATCACTTATACTGCTATTTCCTGAGGCAAGCCGCGCCCTGGTTACGTAAAACAATACCGGAGCACAGGGCTGACGAAGTTTACACATTTTGTACTATTTGAATCTTGCTGAGCAAAACTGTATTTTTGTTTCTATTCCCGTTGTTCTGCTTCTGCTTCTTTTTCTTCTTCTCTTCCACCTTGTACCTCATCGAAGTGTCGGGGGGAGATGTAATGTTCGTTGATTAGCTCTGTCAAGAACACTATTAAGACTGTTGTTCATTTCTGTAAGACTGTTCTTAATGCCATCACTCCATATTTTCCAAGGTCTTCCACTCGCTCTATACCCGTTGCAACGTTTTGGTGTGGCTCGCTGTGGCAGACAGTACCAGGGCATTCTCGTTAGGTGTCCAAATCACTTCATTTGCTGTTCTTTGATGACCTGTAAGACTGGCTTTATTCCTAGCATTCGTCTGATTTCATGATTTCGTATTCTGTCTTTCCTTGAAACTCCTGCAGCTCTTCTAAAGCATTTAATCTCTGTGGTCACAATTTTACGTTCATTGGAGGATGTAAGTGTCCACGTTTGGCATTGATGTTGTTTTGTTACGTGTTAGAATTGTGCATCTATATTTAAAGTTTTGGCATGGTCTTAAACTTTAAAAAATGATTAGAAGTGTACGGGATGCAATAGCTGACACAAATGTACCTTTTGACGTGACTTGTCATGTGCGGTTTTGTTCCGGTTTTGGAGGCCGGTGCAAGAATCTCCGTCCAGATAATTGCCAAATAGTTTTCATCAAATTTTTCTTTATCAGTTTAACATTCCAGTTTACTTGAAGCTTGTTTTTCTAATTCAGGTCCTTTGTCCACCTGTAGACTTAAGTCTTGTTTAAGACCTTGGGGGCCACGTGCACATCCAGTTTACTGATCTGGCTTAACTGTATGCAGACTGTTGGTTACTGGCCTCTCAGGCAGATGTACTCCAACTTCGAAGAAAGCCATTAGTTGACTCATACGACCGGCGTTTTGGGGAGGCAGTGGCTTGTTTTTTGCACAGTCAAACTCCTGATCAGGGCTCCCAATACTGGGTTTCCCCCAGATATTGGTTTTTATATGACGACTAAGGTTAAAATTTTTAAATCTGGGGGGTTTTTTTAAAAGAAAAAAATATATCCCTACATAAAAGCGGGTAAATGTTTCGTTTCGTAACTATAAAATTTTTACTTTTTAACAATCTGGTTTGTTTATTTTTATTTTTTGTTCTTTGTTCATGTATTGCTTGGGTTTTTGTTCAGCGTTTGTTTGTGTGTGTGTGATTTTTTGAAAGAACTTTTAATGGTTTGATTTTTAAATGGTATGACACAAATCACTCAAGCAGAGCTTTAGGAGAGAACTCAACAAGTTCCAGTGGACCGATAGGTGAAAAACAAATTCTGGCATTGGATAAGACACACGATGGGAAAACACGAGAACAATGTAACTAGAATGTCTTTGCACTGGAACCCATAAGGGCATAAACAAAGGAAAACTAAAGGGAAAAACACACACATGGTTAAAGGAGCTAGAGATTAAAGACAAGCTGCGAAGAGCTGCATGCAATAGCGAAGATATATGACGTCTTGGCGTGCGTTGGTTTAAAACTCATGCTCCATTGGTGGTTACAAGGCAGAAGAAAAAGAATTAAAAATTAAAAATTTTATGTCGTTTGGTGTGTTTTCGCACTTTTTGAAAAAAAAAAAAAAAAAATCAAAATTGTATCATTATCTTACAGATTTTAGCAGCCCTGGCAGGACCACGCCCTTCAGCACTAATGATCTCCCCTTTCCACAAACGTTTCTCGCCACTATTCTGTCTTTCAGTTTGTTTCCTTCTGCCTCCTTTCTCTAAGTTGATTATGTTTAATACAATATTTAACATTATGGGATTAACAGGTTTCCTTTGCAGAAAATTCTGATAATTAAATACAGATTAAATTCGCGAAGATTTATACAGAGCAAGTTTTGATGCTCCGGAAGTGAGTCATGAAGTGACTTTAACGCTACAGTGATGTGATTTCAAAGAGCATCCTGAATAAACAGAGTGGTTATAAAGATCCCTGAAAGAATCGAGTTTGGGAATACTAGTATCAAAAGCAGATATTAATGAACTAGAGAGCATGATAACGAAACTTCTTTTTAAAATTATAAGCGTAATTTGAGTTTCGGTGAAGAAGAAGGAAGAAAAGAACGAAAGGAGGAGGAGGAGACGAAGAAGAAAAGAACGAAAGGGGGATAAGACGAAGAAGAAGAAGAAGAAGAAGACGAAGGAGGGGGAGGAGGAAAAGAGGAGGAGGAGAAAGAAAAAGAAGAAAAAATCAATGACAAAATTGTTTTATAATAAACAGTATAACATGGTAACTGTTTATTGTACAGAAAAACATAGGCTGTGGTGTGCAATGATTTTTATAAATACATCTGAACAAAGCACAACAGTATATTTTGAGCATCACATACATATAAGTTGCTGATCATGTTTGTTGTTTTGTATTAGAAAATATGTCAAATTTATCTCCAATAATCAATTAGTTATTAACTTGGGAGAAATTTCCAAGCACTAAAGTAAAATATTCAGGAATGTAACATTCTGGCATTTCAATTTAAAATGCTTAGTTTTTTCAAAAACATAGAAGTTGTTACTGCGTTTGAAGTGTTATGTCAGTAGTAGAGTAGCAAAACAGACGTATCATTTGCATCCGGGTACTCACAAGTAGCCTCTTTTCTATGTGGCTGTATGTATGTGTCTGTGTGTGTGTGTGTGGTGTGTGTGTAAGTGTGTGAGCACGAATGTAAATATGTGTGCTGTGTGTTTTCCTGTGTGTGTTTATATGTAAGAGTCTGTGTGTGTGTCTGTATTTTTGTCTAAGTGAGCGTGTGTGTCTTTGTGGGAGTGTCTCCATGCATGACTGTATTTATGACTGTATGTTTGTATGTGTGTATGCCTGTATAACGAATGTATGCCTGTATGTTTGTATCTATGTATGTTTGTTTGTATGTATGTATGTATGCCTGTGTGTATGTCTGTTTGCATGTTTGTTTGTATGTATGTACGTATATATGTATGTATGTAATGTTTGCATGCATGTATGTGTGTGTGAGTGGGTGATCGTGTGTATGTGGGTGTATGTATGCACGCGCGGGTTTTTTGCATGCACTTTACAACTCATGCTTTTGTGTTCTTTTATAATATTCATAATATGCATATTATCATATGATCATAACATGCTTTATTAGTAAAAATACAACTGCTGTGCGAAAGATGGTTGACTGGAAGGGCCGAATGTAAGACGGGCCTGCGTGCCCAATTTGTGACCCTTTGAAAATAAAGTTCGTTCGTTCGTTCGTTCTTTTGTACAAAATGGCGACTGATCCAGCGGCTAAGTGATTGGTTTTCCCAGCGACCTTCTTTAATTGTAGTATTATCAATCATGTGACGTCACAAATGACATTATCTGGCGGCTGAAGATCGATATATATATGGTGCTATTATTTAAGGCTAATCGATATTTCTTTAGGATATTATTATTATTCTAGCATAGAGTGGGAATGAATTGGCTTTATATTAGATATTTCTTTGTGCTGATCTTTACAGCAACATCAATCTGATAGTGGAAACACTATGTACAGCTTACACTACTCGAATATCAATCATCCTTCTAATCATCATCATCATTATCATCATACTAATTATCATCATTATCATTCTAATTATCAACATCAACATCATCATCATCCTAATTATCATCTTCACTATCTGAATCATCATCATCACTATCCTAATTATCGTCATCATCATTCTGATCATCATCATCATCCTCCTAATCATCATCATCCTCCTAATCATCATCAGTATCATCGCCATCATTTTCATCCTAATTATCATCACCATCATCAATATTCTGTTATGTCATTAAATGTCACACGTGGCTCCAGTCTGGTTCTCCATTCCATCATGTGCAATCCTGTCGAGTTCATCGATCAAATCCAGTTTAGCACTTTTAGTGTTTTCTAACCAAGTTCATTTTGTTTTTTTCTCTTGGACATCCTGGTTTCCTCAGTCAATTAGTTTCCATTTCAGTACCTGTTTGATGATTCTCTGCTCGCTAACGCGACGCATTAAACTAGTTAGATCTCACACTCTTCTTGTATATTCACAGCCAAGCGACCAGCCAATCAGCCAGCCTGCCAACGGTTTATCTAGCAAATTAACTGACCAACCGTCCAACCGACTGACCGACCGACAGACCGACCGACCTTCTTACCGATCAACTGACTAAATAGCCAACAAACAAACAAACCATTTAAAAAGACAGCCAACCAACCAGCCATACATAATGAATGAAATGCTGAACTGACAGTGCAGCTGCTCATGAATTTAGTTCAGTGCAAATTATTGTTCTGTGTTTCAGAAGTGTGCGGGGAAAGGAAAATGCAGAGAAGATTGGCTGGTTCAGCACACCTTGGCGGTGAAAAAATGCTTTACAAGCTTCACGTTACCAAGGCTCTTTGGGAGCAAGTGAACAGTTCGGTGGCACAAACAGGTCATCACGCTCTGAGAAAATTGTGTAGCGGGAAGGCATCAGGGGATCTAGCTGAAATCAGCACTCAGGGGAAAGGCAAGACGGACATACAGTGAGAGCGCTACTGGAACGATCGGCATTAGAATTATGTGCTGGCTGCGAAGACTGGACGATAATGGAAGTGTCCAGAAGGTTACGTGATTGGCTCTTGACTCAGTAACCTCTTGACCCAGCAGCCCACCTGACCTTAACTAAGCTCAGAAGTACATGCATCTCTCTTGCCTGGATTCACAGCACGTTTTTATTTGAACAAATCAAATATCACCCAAATAATTTTTCAATCCTGAATGTGTTCAATCTTCCCATCCTTCATATAATACACGTGTCCAGTGCTATTACTCATATACGATGCATTAATACTGAACCCGCTTTTGCAGACAATTAAAATATCACACAGACTTAATATAAACTGATCGATTAGTGCCACCTCAAACCCCACACACGCGCTATGTTCGCTTCTTTGCCGATCTATGTGTAAGATTTTCCCGCCATAATCTAACAAACGATCTCCAAAAAACTGTTTTGATTCAGCTCGAACATGTTCATAATCTGTAGCCACAAAAAACTTGGCGTTTCCAAGCGCGTCGTTAGATGACATGAACTTGAGTAAAGTAGGTAAGTGTTCAATGCTAAAGGATTGTAGGTTTTCATCCATAGGAATTGTTGGATTTTTGCCCATTCTTACATGGGCGCAGATTAAAGTTGAGTTCCCTATTGCGGAGGTAGAATTCACAGTTTTGATTTTGACAGGTTTTGATATTAATCCTTTTCGAATTAGCAACTGAGGCCCTAAAATGTACTGGAGATGGCTTAAAAGCATGTGTGATGGTTGCATCAGATCGGTCCATGCCCAATGAAATCTTGATCGCCTTTTGTAGAGTCCTCCCCATTGGTCCAGGACTGACGAGTAGGCGGAGTTTTTAGTCAGATGACTGTAATAATCTTGGTTTGTTTTCAGGTAGATAACTTTCTGTGAATACTTAACGTTAAAATCGCCATCCTTGATGCTGAACTGGAAATTTTTGTCCAACAAGGCATTGATAGTGATATTTGAGTTTGTGACAAGTTCGTTCGCACGAGGCATCCACTGAACTTTATTTGGTTTATAGAATAACCGCAGGTTGCAAGGGGTTGTCATAATAATCTTCAGCTGGCGTTTAGTCAGACGAGACAACAGATATGTAGACACAATCCCGCGTTGACGGTCGCCCCACCCTCCGCACAAGTGTTGAGGGTCACACAGATACACTAAATAACGTCCTTCTAAAGATTGATTATTTGTTTCGTTAAAAGGCGATGGCGGTAGAACATCAGAAAACGGCCTTTTCATTTTTATGGGCCTCTTTGTTACACGTACTTGTGATGGAACAAAAGGGCTTTTAGTGACTTTAACGTTTAGTAAATATTTCCCAGGATTATCTGCACTTGGCGGATGTAAGTTCACACTTCCGCTTTGATTGTAGCTGTTCTGAATGGACGATAATTTGTTGCCAGGGACGCTTTGAGAGCCCTTAATAACACCGTAATAGCGATAACCCACTTCGGGGTATTGAAAATCTTTTGTATTCTCTTTAGCACCCATCACATGAGAAGTCTGACCATTCAGGGAACCCATAGGAGCGTCATCCAGCTCATTCATATCCATTAAGTTCTGGGAAAACCCCGCATCCATATACGCATGCAGGTCAAAAGGATCATCCTTCATAGATGCCACAAACGAAACTGGATATTCATGAAAAAAACGATCATCATTATCACTGAGGCCAGCTTCTAAACTGGATCTTTTCTCATCATCACCAGCATTTGTACCTTCCAGCGGTAGGTCCGCCAGCTTCCCCATCGCCTGTGCCTGCTGCAGCTTCTTCTCACCGAGGGGATCGTTTGGTACGTATATCTTGAGCGTGTCTCTGCTGGAGAAGTCGTTGAAGATGTCTGTGCTTTGAGAGCTGAACAAATAAACCATGTAGACGCCATAGATACAAAGTATGCAGAGAATCAAGAAGCTGAGGCGAGCCAGCTTTCTTTTGTATGTCTGAAACAAGAAATCCAGGAAATATTATATAATAATTTGCAAAGCTATAAAAATAGTAGTAGCAGCAGCAGCAGTAACAATAGTAGTAGTAGTAGTAGCAAAGCAGTAGCAGCAACAGTAGTAGTAGCAGTAGTAGTAGCAGTAGTAGTAGCAGCAGCAGTAGCGGCAGCAGTAACAGTAGCAGTAGCAGCAGCAGTTGCAGTAGTAGTAGTAGTAGCAAGATTAGTAGTAGTAGTAGTTGTTCTAGTATTAGTATTAGTAGTTGTAGTAGTATTAGTAGTAGTATTAATAGTAGTAGTAATAGTAGAAGTATTAGTAGTAGTAGTAGTAGTAGTAGTAGTAGTAGTAGCAGTAGTAGAAGTAGTAGTAGCAGTAGTAGCAGTAGTATTAGTAGTTTTGGTAGTAGTAGTAGTATTATTAGTAGTAGTTCATTCATAGACAAAGAAAAAGCCCTTGATAGAGTCGACAAGAATATGTTGTGGGAATTCATGGGAAAAAAGTGAATCAGCAATCATCTCATTAATATTTACAAAAGCCTGTACACACGTAGTAAATGCTGCGCAAGATCGAAGGCAGGGTTGTCAAGAACTTTTATAGTGAACTCTGGTGTGCGTCAGGGCTGTGTGCTATCGACGCTTCTTTTTATACATACACGGATACCATATGTAGCGAAACGAACTTTAACCATGAAGAAGATGTTACAGAATTAATATTCGCCGACGACCAGGTACTCATAGCAGAAAATACATATTGCCTACAGAACCACCAAAATCAAATCAGTAACAAAAGGGAGGAATATAATATGAAAATAAACACTACGAAGACAGAGACAATGATGATAAGAAGACATACAGACAATTTAGAAATAACATTGAAAAAAAAACACCCTGAGACAAACAGAGGAATTTAAGTATTAGGGAGCAATTTTCACATCCGACGGAAAACTGGACAGAGAAATTAGCTCCAGATGTGCCAGAGCTAATCAAGTGACGGGGCAACTATCTCCCCTGTTGACACACAAGCAGATACCTCGGAGTACTAAAGTGAATCTTATCAGAACTATTTTTTGGCCAATACTATGCTATCAATGCCAAACGTGGACAATTACATCCTCCAATGAACGTAAAATTGTGACCACAGAGATTAAATGTCTTAGAAGAGCTGCAGGAGTTTCAAGGAAAGACAGAATACGAAATCAGGAAATCAGACGAATGCTAGGAATAAAGCCAGTCTTACAAGTCATCAAAGAACAACAAATGAAGTGGTTTGGACACCTAACAAGAATGCCCTGGTACTATCTGCCACAGCGAGCCACACTACAACGTTACAATGGGTATAGAGCGAGTGGAAGACCTCGGAAAATATAGAGTGATGGCATTAAGAACAGCCTTACAGAAATTAACATCAGTCTTAATAGTGCTCATGACAGAGCTCATCAACGAACGTTACATCTTCCCCCGACACTTCGATGAGGTACAAGGTGGAAGAGAAGAAGAATAGGAAGAAGAAGAAGAAGAAGAAGAATGGTATTATTATTATTATTATTATTATTATTATTATTATTTTTAATATTATTATTATTATTATTATTATTATTATTATTATTAGTAGTAGTAGTAGTCGTAGTAGTAGTAGTATAAGTAGTAGAAGTAGTAGTAGTAGTAATAGTAATAGTAGTAGTAGTAGTAGTCGTAGTAGTAGTAGTAGTAGTAGTAGTAGTAGTAGTAGTAGTAGTAGTAGTAGTAGTAGTAGTAGTAGTTAGTAGTAAGTAGTAGCAGTAGTACTAGTAGTAGTAGCAGCAGCAGTAGTAGTAAGTAGTAGCAGTAGTACTGATAGTAGTAGCAACAGTAGTAGTAAGTAGTAGCAGCAGTAGTAGTAAGTAGTAGCAGTAGTACTAGTAGTAGTAGCAGCAGTAGTAGTAAGCAGTAACAATAGTACTAGTAGTAGTAGCAGCAGTAGTAGTAAGTAGTAGCAGCAGTAGTAGTAAGTAGTAGCAGTAGTACTAGTAGTAGTAGTAGTAGGAAACAAATGCCGCCTGGTGCAGGTAGGCGCAATATACAATGGTTTAACATTGTACGTCTTCCAGAGCCCCAAAAATGCAGTTTTGTCAAAGGACACAGACCCAAATACTGTCCAGACCGGCGACGAAGTTGTCTGACGGCGAAACAATGGGCGACCCGTTCGTCCATGTAAAGTGTAAGGTCTGGTGTATCGAACAAATAGTAAAGAAAAAGCAAAGCTCCCTCCCTATACACGCCAGTGGCGCTTCGGGCAGATTAGACTCGATTTATATTTTGAACAGACCAATCCCGCTCTCAATGGGTGATGCGGTCAGCATCACGCCAGTCGCCTTTATTTCCCAGGACTTCATCTGGTATACATTTAAGGCTGGATCGACCTGGGAGCCGAGATCATTTAGAAAAAAAAAAAAAATAGTCCGGCTCTACAAAGGACCCGAACCTACGACACTGGGTTCCGGCGGCGAACGCCTAGCGCTACACCACGACGGCTCCAGTCGAGCGTATAGTAAAGTAAGTTCCCTTTTCACGCCTCAGGCGCATCGGGCATATGGGAAGAGCGTCCTATATTTTTACAGACCAATCGACACTGGGTGGGTAATGTTGTCAGCATTACGCCGGTCGTCTTTACTTCCACAGGACAGCCATCCTGGTACCCATTTTAGGCTGGGTCGACCTGCGACGCCCCATACCATGATAAAAATCCACGCAGTCAGCAGTGGGTTTCGATCGCGGTTCGTTGGAATTACGAGCCGGACTCGCAGTGCCTAAAAGACGGACGCCGCTGAACGTATAGTGCTAGATCAAATTTGTTTTTTTAGACCGATACCCACCACTCGACAGGTTATGCTGCGAAAAGCATACAGTTTATCATACGGTATCATTCGCAACTTTTTTTTGCATTAACGCGACCCGCTAAGCGTTCAGAACAGGCGACCAATATTCTTAACTTTAACAATGTTTCTTCAGCTGGAGCAGAAAAGAGTTTAGCATTCTTCTGCCAAAACATTATATTTCCCATAGAGGGCCTTGAAAACCCATTAGTTCTAATAATTTTCTGTGGAAAAATAAAATGGCCACAGTTTGGTCTGCATTGCGAACACTTTCCTGGCACAGCCTCTCGAGAACAATGTGTCCGACCATAAGATACGGCAACGCAGAAGAGCTAAGCCAAGTCAGATTTAGGAGCTTAGAAGTGACATTGTGCTAGAAAGAAAAAGAGCTACATAGCTTGTCTTTAGTTGGCTGTTGCACTGATTAACAAACTCACACCCATAAGGCACAACGATATGCGTCATGGAGAGCAAAGGAGGCGCCAGCTTCGTTGTGAAAACAACACCAGACTCAATATTTCACTTTAATGGTTTTGGCTTTGCTAGGTTGAGAAAATCAACGTAACTGCACATTTAGCATTCCCATACGCGCTCAGTCCTCTGTTTCAGCAGCCAGTTAAAGGTACTTCTACTGACTGTTCCCATGAGGAGTTGATTATTTTGAAGGCGGCATATACTTGCTTCTAAATTCTTTACCCCCAGGTCACGCAGTAGTGTTAGTGTCAGAGGTTTTAGTTATTTCAATATAGCATACTGTTTCTCGTGGTGGTAGCACATTAGAGCACTGACTAGTAAGTAAGCTTGTTTAATGACCTGATGGTGTTGGGCTCGAATACCAATCATCACCGAGTTGCTTTGCCGACTGGCATTGGCGATCATGCCTCTCCATAATCTCTGATCTTCAGTAGCGTGAATCAGTTTATGTGCTTACACCCCCCCCCCCATGTTATGACAAAAGGCTGTCAATTATCTGTGTATGTGTGCCCGAGTGTATGTGTGCCCGAGTGTATGTGTACCCATATGCATGTGTGCTAAAGTGTATCTGTGCCCAAGTCTATGTGTCTATGTGTATGTGTGCCCATGTGTATATGTGCTCAAGTGTATGTGTGCGCATGTATATGTGTGCCCGAGTGTATGTGTGCCCAAGTGTGTCTGTGCCCACGTGTATGTGTCTATGTGTATGTGTGCCCATGTGTATATGTGCTTAAGTGTATGTGTGCGCATGTATATGTGTGCCCGAGTGTATGTGTGCCCAAGTGTATATGTCCAAGTGTATGTGCATCCAAGCGTGTGTGTACCTATGTGTAAGCCTACCCATGTGTATGTGTCCAAGTGTACATGTACCCATGTGTATATCTACCCAGCTGTACGTGTGTCCAAGTATATGTGCAAGAGCGTGTAGGCGCAAGGGTATGTGCGCGCATGCGTGTGCCCATAATTTTCTGCAACAGTCGCACCAGAACGTGAACAGAGTCACGTTTCCGGGGAAACAAAAACACGCCGCAAACTAATTTAACCGACAGAAGTAGCAAACAACACGGTTTGTCTGATGGGCCACGGTG